ATTATAGGTAGTTTATAGTTTATAGGTTGAAAATTGTTACGGATAAAATAACGCACTATTTCTTCACTAACAATAACACTGAACTTTATTAAATAATTTTAAAAATACACTATGTCAATAAAATAAAATTAATTGTTGAAAAAATACGCGTACAAAATATGTTATATCCCGCGGAGAGTATGTTTGTTGAGATGCTGTTTTGTGCGAGTGACAATGAACGACTGCTTTTAGAGGAAAGCATTTTAGGTTTTCGGTAAACAAAAAAAGACTAATACGAAATGTACGAGCAAAAATAGCCCTTAAAGACACAAAATAGAGCAACAAATCATTCAACTATTACTGAGAATTCGAACTTGCCGGACCATCATAAAAATGGTTAGTGAAGGGTCTCGACAAAAATTACCTGCGGGTGAATGGTGAGGCTATTTTGAACGTTTGAAAAGTTTTGAAAAAAGATTCGTTAAAGTGAACAATAGGCATATATGGAAAACATCCCGGAGGATGTCAATTTCCTTTGTTTATTTGCACTGAAACAAGAGGCAGATTAAGTGGCGAGCCCGCTCTAGGCTAGCACCTCATAGGCGCCCCTCTGGCGGTCATATATTTTGCAAAATACTTTTTTTTATTAGGTACTTCCTTATTATATGCCTACTTTGCCTTATGGATAATCCGCCACTGACTGAAACACTTATTTCGATTTCGATGCGCAGCAGATTTATTATAGCAATCAATAAAAATTAATAACTTACCTACTTATGGTGTATCGGTGAACAAAATATCGTAGGTGTATGACTTAATTGCCCACCCCCCTCCCCAAATAGTTTTTTCGACCTCAACTTTGAAAATCGCTTTAGATGACAAGGCAACATCCGCACTTGTGTTTCTTATTAAATATACATTGGTAGCGATGCAACGGAAGTGTCTTAACGGAAACAGAAGTAAATGGTAAAATTTTGCGGATGCGGAAGTGTAATGATTTCGGATGATTCTTTAACGCACTGGTCATGCGCCCTTTTTGACTTCAAAATTGCACTGTTAACTTAACATTTACACCACTGAGCAAACACTAGATATACAAAATGAATAAAATAAAATAGAAATGAAATTATTAGAACATGCAGATTTGCAACGAGCAATTCCATTTAAATTGTGTTTTGAAAACGGCCAAGTTCAACTAACAGATAAAGGTAGCAAATTTTTACAACTTGTTTTCTTGCTCCGATATATTTATTTTCAAAATGGCGAAAGATCCGATAAGCTTCCATTATAAAAATACGGAAGCAGATGCAGAAGCGGATATGAAAATGTATGCGGAACTTCTGTAATTGCAACACAATACGTAGGTAATGAACAAATAAAAAAATTAATGGGTGATTTTGGGTTTGAAATGCCACACTTGCGTTTATGTTTTGGGTTTTCCAAAACAAAAAAAGTGTATTTTAAATAAAATGCAATATGTTTTAAAATAATAATGTATTTTGTTTTATCACAGTTTCTCTAAAAAAAAGTTATCTAATAAAAATAATTAATACAAAAATCTGTTTTCCGCTACAATGATGCAGAAGTAAAGGATTGTCTACTTTTAAATACTGGAGTGTAAATAAGGCGTTAATTAAGTAAATTGTCTCACTACGATTTAGGCTTTCGAACTGAGCGCAACTTCGTTATTTTATTGCCAAGCAATGGCACAAATTTCATTTCGACAAATATTTTAGGTATATTAGCAATAAATAGAAGTCAACTCAATACTGCCTGGTACGATTAAGTACTACTTATCAATAAGTGCAATAATCCTTCATGTAGAAAAATAATACAATTATATTACATTACGTAAATTTACGTAAAAAAGTACTGCTTTCTAATAATAAATATAACTTATTTATCATCAACTTCCTTCCACAGAATTATTTTTTCTATATCTATAATATGTACAAAATATAAGTAGTGTAGGAATAATACCGTTCAAGTTAACGTAAAAAGACACTTAATCGCAAAAAAAACATTAAATATTGCACCTAGCTTTTAATTCGGTCGTTTTTCGCGATAACAACGAATTTACGTCCTCTTCGTTGTACGACACGAGAAACTCTTTCGGTGAAAGTGCTTCGAACACGTTACTGACACTTGGTTTCAAGTTGTAGAAAATGAGAACCTGATTTCGGCATGCGAAATCTTTGGTAAGAGTGTCGATAACAGTAGCGGCCGTATAATCAGCCCCATAAATATGAGAACAGTCTATGACGACGGGTATTTCTTGACGCACCGAATGCTTGGTTACCAAATTCCTTACGTAATCCACCGACGGAAAGATCAGGCATCGATCAGGTGTCAACATCAAATACTCGATTCCATTGGAACTCTGAAAAAAACATTTTTTGTTTACCAAAACAAATATTACAGTAAATAAATTAAATCCATTGCGTATTTAAGACTCGTTGTGTTTATTAGTTGAATAATTATGATAATAATTGTTTCAACCCGTAGGACATCATTTTGCTTTGGAAAATATGAAATTCCTCCATATATCATCGTTCAAAATTGCCATCATTTTCAATCAGATCCACCCTGTTACGATGAATACTGATAAGCAGTTTTATGGAGGGAGTCAAAAAACAAGAGCATTGAACTAAAATAATTAATTAATTTCGTCGTTCGTTTGAAAATTTAAGAACTTTTTGATATATTTGTCCCTTAATATGTAAAATGTTTTTGAAATTGGACAATTCATGGTTATGATGATCGAAAAATGGAAGATTTTTCTCAATTTTAAGGTTTTGTGATTCCTTCTCGCAGAATCTTTCTCGTGTGGCGTATTCTCTTTGGGCTAGACCTAGTTTATCGATCATATTACAACCGTTTTTAAAAAATAATCTAATAGAGGATTACGGTACTAACCGTATTCTGAAAATCTTTTAAACAAAGCGTACCTAGTACCCCTGAAAAACTAAATTGCATTGTACCACATCGGGTTGATCAAAAGATAATACCGCTCTTTTGATGACTGCATACAATGACTCAATATTAGGTTCTCAATACTTCACTAGTGTATATGGAGTATAAAATTTCGCTGAATTAACTTTCTTCGCGATTCTAAAATAAGAAGATGAATTCGCGTTTTTTGTTTACAAATAATATTAAGTCATAGTCTCGTGATTCTTTAAATGGTAGGCGATCAAGTTCTTTCCTTGATAAATAATCGGCGGGAATCTAAATGATTCAAGTTTGCGACAAGTGACAACAACTCCTTTGCTGATCTTCTTGCTTTAATTGATTGAATCAAACGACAAGTTAATTGGAAATATTGTTTCGCGGTCACGGGATCCCTCATGTGACGAATTAATTGAGGAATAAATCGTAATTAAAGCATTCGATGTGGAGCAAGCACATGACTGTGAAACGAGATACCGGAACGACAAAAAAACGATACGTGTAATGAAACAGGTTTTCATATACAGATATTGTGGTAACAGTTGTGCGTATAAATAGTCAACTTTTATTAGTCATTAATTCCGACTTTCTACTCCCGTCATATGACTTAGCCACGGCATAGTACGCTGGATAATTGCAGATTTCATCTCAAATACTTACCACAAGTTTTTCGATAGTTATCTTGGGTCTCGCGGCGTAATACAGAATGAAGAGCAGATTCATGCCAATGCCTACCAAAATTCCAACCTCCAAAGCCAACACTAAACAAGCTACGAACGTTGCCAGCGCAAGGAAGAAATCACTTTCTGCAACAAAAGAAAAGCACACCCGTTAATCCCACTCGAATCCTACGAATTAAAATGTTCTTACTTTTGCATCTCCACATTGGTCTAACAACTTTAACTTCCACCATGAAGATGACTGCAGCTATGATAATAGCAGCTAAGCTGGCCTTTGGTATGTAGAAGAAATAAGGGGTGAAAAATAGAAGTGCCGCTATAACCAGGACGCCAGTGTAAAAACCGTTGAAGGGTGTCCTTGCGCCACTGCTGTTTAGAACAGCACTCCTGGACAAGGCACCAGTAATTGGAAATCCTTGGAAGAAAGATGTAGCCACATTCGAGACCCCAATTGAAAGAAGTTCCTGGGTTGCATCAATTGATTTACCATTTGCTGAAATTATTTTCGGTTGTTATTTCTTCTCGATGGATTGACTAATAAGAGATTAAGACATACCAAACGCTTTACAGATTGCAATATCTTCTAACAGTGCCAACAAAGGAACCAAAATTACCCCAGATCCTAATGTTGCTAACATGTCAAGAAAAGAAGTTGTAGTATTCCCGGAATTCATACTAAATGCAGGAACTTTTATTTCGGGTAGACCAGAAGGAATATCTCCTATAAGTTTGACAGGGACATCTTCGTAACTTGTGAACAGGAAGTACCCTATAAAACCACAGACCACTACAAGGATTGCATTCCTAGAAGTTGAAATTATCCATATGGTGGCGTTGGCAAATTTTTGGAATTTGTTCGGAGCGGAATCGGATGTTTCTTCCGGTCCAAACTTAATTTTCGTCATTAGCTAAAAATTATCCACAGTAAGTAACAACATTGTTAAATTGTGATAATCTAGAGTTGTTCCTTACTCTCATTAACAGTAGAACAATAATGGATGCGGCACCCAAAAAGGTGTCCCATCCAGATAAACCATGAATATTGGAAATAATACTTGTCCAAGTTTGGACGAATGTGGATCCACTAGCCTTAATTCCTAATAGGTCCTTTACTTGTGACGTCAAAATAATTAACGCTGCCGCTGATGTAAATCCTGACGAAACTGGTCCGGACACAAAGTCCACTAAAAATCCTAGAAAGAAAGTTCAACTGTTTATGCTACCTTCTTATAAATATTGTTTGTTCTAAAGTCACGACGGTTTTATGGAGAAACCGTTGCTGCGACCATTGATATTCGTGGATATGATGTTCAAGAACATTGAACTCTAATACACGAACACATTTTTCACGGTTGAGTTCACAATTTCTCTTGTTATTCATCACTCACCGATCACATATCGTTTGGCTAACATCGCCCACATTAAACAATTGCAAATAGCAACGACAAGACATATTTACCTAAACCGAAGAAACCCATAAGTAGTTCGATTATTCCTGACAAAAAGCTGAGGAGTATTGCATACTCTGGACTTCTCCCCTGTACAATTTGAAAGGTAAGTATGGAAGCTATAGCGGTGGGTCCCATTGGAACGTCTTTACATGTACCCAATACTATGTAAATAAAACAGCCTAGGAAGGAACTATAAAGCCCATACTGTAAAAGAAATATAACATTGATTTAGTTGCAATATTGATTAATCGTATTAATGACGAAAGGTAAAAAATTTGGAGATAAGGTGGAGCACAATATTTAAAAAAAAAACGTTTAGTCTAAAATTGACTCACTTCCGCAATAAAATTAACAAGGAAAGCAGTTAATTATAAAATACGCCAACTATAGCACGTTTAACACTTTATATTTATACACTCCCAAAGTATTAGCAGCACAAACAAATCTTAAATAAACTATCTGGTATCCGGATTTATCCAGAATTAATTACTCAGACCAGTAGTTTTCTTTTATCTGAATAAATGAAGGAAAAACACAGCTGACTAAATCTTTTGTCAATAAAAACAAAACAGGAGTACGTGTAGATGTTTTCATATCTTCAAATTAGTAAAAAATCAGAATAATCATCAACAAGTACCATAAATGGTACTTACTGAACGTAAGAGCCATGTAACTAGGGTTTGCAACCCGTACTTTATTATAAGGTATTGTACTCTATTTCGACTGTGCGTACTTTATACTTTACAAGACGCATAAAGTACGCAAAAATACTTTATTTAAGGCCTTCAGTAAACATCGTAATTTTGTAAGCGATTATTCGAAATTCAGAGTATTTTTACATCAATAATATTGCACAGAAAAATGGCAAGCCATATTTACGGAACAACCTGATTTCCCAAATCTGTTCAAAGTAGTGTCACTTTTGCTGTCCGTTCCGGTCACTTCAGCATTTACAGAGTTTTCTCTGTTATGAACAGAAAGTGGCGGGACGACAGGAATAAAGCTTCATTAAAACTAATTAAAAATGAACTTTTAGTTTACTTAAATCTTTGTTTGCCATGTTTAGAGGCTATTAATGTATTTAAGAGCGACAGCAATTTGTTACTGGCGGTTAGGTGTAACAAAAAATATGTTTTTAAAAACAAAAAATAAAATACTTTATTTTTATGCTGAGTACTTTCTTTTTCAACCTTTTAGTCGAGAAATACTTTATGTACAGCGTGAAAAGGTGTCAAACCTACATGTAACTCAACAATTAACAAAATTCATTCATTTCGTTCGATTAATAATAATGTTTTCTGTACCTGTGGTGGTAGACCAGCTATGGACGCGTAAGCCAAAGATTGCGGTATAACCATAAGACCTACTGTGATGCCGGCCACCAAATCGCCAATTGCATCTTGCGAGTTGTATTGCGGTAGCCAACTAATTATTGGAAGGCGGCGATGCAGCATCTTTTTGGTGCACGCCTTTTGTACTTTTTGTTTAAGCCATGGTACGACCGTTTTAATTGCTTTAATTGTTGAACGCTTTGGTTCGTCTATTACTGGAACAAATAATTATTTTTATCGTCTGCGATATTTGTATACTCTTGTCAGTTCCAAAAACTTACGGGTAAAATCGTTGCTTCCTTTCATCTCAACTTCTGAGAGTTTACTGTGGAATGATCCCGTGAATGCTGGATTCGAATAGCCGAAAAGACTTTCACCATTCTTTCCGGTGGGATTATCTTTACCGCCTCCCCCTTCACCCTGAAGATCTCTATCGGAGTCGAACGTTTTACTGTAACAATATCCAGATATTTTTAATTGAAAAAAAAGTATTATTTATCGGAACACTACTAAACACATACCTTTTAATATAATAATTAGTATTACTATAAATAAGAAAAAAACGCAAATATTTTTTGTAATACGTAATAAAAAATATTTACATTAACCGCTGTTTTTACCATGAGTAATGGAAATACATTCCATTAACCATTATCATTATGCGACTTTCTTGTTTGGACAAATTACTTAAGGCAATTTTTAATTAAAATTAACGCCACATTTACCACCAGAACGCTTTCTGAATTGCATGTTGGCAGAAAAACTGTTCTTTTTCAAGTACTTTACTTTATTATATTTATACTAGAAATGAGCCGGATAGCTGGTATGGATCCGGCACTTTTTTTCAGAATCCGACTGGGTAATGAATAATTGGTAATTAAGATTGTATTGGGATAAGTCGTTTATCCTAATTTGTATTATTTACCAGTAAGTTTCTATATTAAATTACTTGTTGTTTCGATATAGTTCCTGTGTTTTATTGCTTTTGATTAGCGATAATTTTTTATTAGTATAACTTTATCAGCTTGGAAACTTTAATAGTTTATAAACATTATAGGCTCCTTGTCGTTGATAATCCGTTATTTGAAAATTAAAATTTCATTTGTTTAGTGTTTAAACGACTTTTTCCACAGCTAATTCTTTTTCTTTTTAAATTCTCATTTACAAGACACTTTGATATTTTGAAAATAGAAAAGTCAAAACCAAATGCGAAAATTCGTGCAAATTCGGACTGTATATGGTGAGATGTTCTTACAATTAGTAAATTGTGTATATCTTACAGGTACCCAGTAATCATGATCATAATTCCTGGTAGGATTATTATCTTATATTCTGTGCTGCGATTTACAAATACCTTTCTAATGCTTAATTTACAACTACCGTCTTTGAAAGTCCAATTACCAATTAATTATTATTGGAATAATGATTTGTCTTTTAGTTTATTGCAAGTGATAATGGGCTTTAGTAAGCGATTATTAATAGTAATAATTAAACTAAAATTGAGATTTTGTACTTCACATATGCCATTGACGTTTCTTTTGGTAAGTATATTATAATGAGCTTCGATAATATGGGAAATTGGAATTGGAACACGCACAAGTTACCCTTGCGATGATACTTATTTCTTTGTTTACACACTAACACTCATCTTCATTTTAATTATTAGGTAGTAGGTCGTATGTGACGCCTATTTCAATTAAATCCAAAACACAAGCCGGCAATTTAATTTATTGTTGTTGTCAATAATATAATTATATTGTGTACTACTAATTTATTTTCGTAAATTCCAGAAATACTTATTATACAAAATGTTCGCACTAATGTGTAATGTGACTATCGAATAGTTCTTTAGATTTGATGAATTTTTGTATCGGTTTAAACTGAAGAATTTGCGGTAAAGGCTTAGTAATTGCATCAAATTAATAAAATAATCCAGTGTTCTAATTATGTTACTTATAAAGAAAAGGTTAAATAAGGAAATCGGAAAATTACTTTTCTTTTTCTAATGTAAAATGGAGCAATGCATAGGCACCCAGAAATGATCAATTTTACATATACATAATTCAAGTAATTAAAATATTTTCTGGGAAAACACCACACTATACGTTAGTTTAGAGGAAAGCAAATGATTCGTTTGTGCTTAAGACGTTACCATTGTTGTTACCATGGTAATAAAGGAATTTCAAGCTTTCTTTTGGTATTCGAAAGAACAGAAAATTATAAAGCACAAGGCATTCCACTTCACACGATGGAACTGGAATAAGTAAATAAGTGAATCACATTGCAGACATAAAATACAAATAAAAATCGTTAATGATCGTGACCCTTATTCTATAGAATATCAATAGGTATCATCTTGAATTGGGAATATATTAAGTCCACAATTTTCGTTTTCTGAATACATTCGAACTTGTCTAAGTCGACCTTCAATAACTCGAGAAAAATTAAAATGTTTAACGTGAAGTAGACATTTTCCTTAACTGGAAGTTTTCCTATAACTTGAACGTAACTGAGTAGGTTCAAGTTTAGGAAATTTTATTGTATACTCATGAAGTCATCTATTCACTTAGACTTAATTGTTATTTTTATACTTATTTTTCAAATTATAGATTCTGACTTTATTAAAATTAAGTGATTTCTATAATGTTATTTGATAACCAATTAAGACTTAGTTGCCATTTTTCTCAGTAGGTCAAACATTGCATCTTATGAAAGGGAAACTACATTTCTACTAAGGAAATAATACAAGTGGAACATAAATTAAAATATTGCGACAGGGTTACATAAATTGCAGTCTGTAATAACGGCTGTTTTATAGAAAAATTAACATACTGAATAAAATTTCATTTAATTTACAAATTACCGAATCAATGTACGTAATTTCGCATTTCCCTTAAGAATGTTTCACTAGGTACTATGTTTTTAACGAAAAGAGCAAATGTTTACAAAAATTTGCCATAGTTAACAAAATTAGTTCTATTCGACCGTAAACAATCTGTTTGCAATACTTTCTTAACCATTATCACAGAAAACAATTAAACCATGTAATAAAGATAGGAAACAAATAGACATGCTTTAAAGATATAAACGCGTTGCATAATTTTGGCAGCTGATTACCAAGCTACCTTCGTTGGGCAACTCTTTTAACTTTACAGGCAAAAAGTTAATTGAAATAATCGTAAAATAAGCTGATAAACTCAATTATCAGTTTGTTAATCACGGGAATGTTTTCATTTATCGTGTATGTAAAAAAGATAAGGTAAAGTAATAAAAAATACACATTCTGCAATTTTACTTCAATACTGGCGCATTTTTAACGAAATCGTGAACATAAAGTTCTGAAATTTTAAGAAGCATTATTTACCTACACACACAATCTGTGTTAAAATTGTATTATTTGTTTGGACAAATTACTTAAGGCAGTCAGTCTTCAAATAAAATTAACACCACATTTACCACCCGAACGGTTTCTGAATTGCATGTTGGCATAATAACTGTTCTTTTTCAGATAATGTTATTTAAATTATTGTATTTATACTAGGGATGGGCCGGATAGCTGGTATGGTTCTGGTACCTGACGGATCCGACACTTTTTTTTAGGATCCGGCCGGGTAATGGTAATTAAGGTTGTATTGAGATAGGTTGTTTGTTCTAGTTTGTATTTACCAATAAATTACTACACTAAATTTTTAATTGTTTCGATATAGTTCCTGTGTTTTGTTGATATATCAGATTTCGATTAGCGATAACTTATTATTAGTATTACTTTTCACCTTGGAGACTTTTATTGTTTATAAACATTATAGGCTCGTTTCAACGGTTTTAAACCCTGTCATTCACGAATTAAAATTTTATTTGTTTAGTGTTTAAACGACTTTTTGCACAGCTAATGCCGGGTTCACGGTTATCCGGTATCCGGCAAAATCACTATCCGATACATCTTTAATTAGAAACATAAACATTGTTCGATAGGTTTCTTTTATGGCACTAAAAGGTTTATTGAAATTCAACCCCTAGACATACAATGCAAATATTAATCCGAAACTGCATTTTAGGCAATAAATTTATCAGACAATTTCGAATGTTCCAATTAACTTATTTTTAATTAGTTTTTGTAAGTTTAAATCAATTTATTGCAAACGAATAACCATAACTCTCGTTTGCTTTGAATCAGATGGGGTCGAAAATGAAATTTACTAGTTATAATAAAATCTCAATCCATCATCCTATAAGAGTTTCAATTAATGTAAAGTGTAACATTTTTAGAGCATCAAATAAAAATGAATTATACGAGATAATTTCAAACACGGTTTCTATCCGATTCCCGAAGGATTCGACACTTTTTTTAGGATGGCCGAGTGAATTCGAAAAAACAAGCTCAAATCAATTTGTCATCGAAGTTTCAATTCTAAATCCAGATCGCCAGCTTCGAAAGGACAGAGGAGAGGAAACCTCGCGGGTCATAACATTCCTTTGGAAAATTGCTCGAATTTTCACCAAAATGAACTTTGTGTATAAATTTTTTTTATCGGCTAAAGCTAATGCTGGGTGTCCGATACCCAGTTCCCAAAATATCTGCAGTACTTATAGTTAATTAAGATTACTTATGCTACTTTTGGAACTACTTAACATTTAGGAAGTACTTACACAGAAAATTTGGTATTCCCTGTTTCATCGGTCATGATTTCTGTTGGAACGCCTGTCTTTAGAAAAAAAACTTTCTAAACTGTCCGATTAATTGAATTGCGGCCGAATTAAGTACAATCAATTTTCCGACACAGTACAACGATAAATAATTATTGTCACGCGAAATAGTTCTAGAACACGCGCCGGTTAAATTTTATAAATATATATATATGTAACTGACAACAATTGAATTGCTTGTCGAGCACTACAGTGTGTCTAATTCAAGAATCAACTGGTATTGTGGGCTAAGACAACGACTCCTCTCAATTAAATTCCCGCGGTGGCGGATCGGGTCATGTGACCAATGACGCAATATTTACGTTCCAATGGAATCCCTCATCACGTGAAAACAACTGCTAAGGTTGAGGTTAGATTTTCTCGATGCGTAGCGATCGGTCGCAAAAACGCGCTCCGGGTGGAGTTGAAAATTTTAAACTGGAAGGAGGTCCGTTAAACAAAGAAAATGCTTCAGTTGGAGACCGACGAAGCACTGTTGGAGTTGTGTTGATCGTGACTGTCGCGAGACCAGTATCTAGGAGTCGACAAGGCGGTTCTTCGGCACTCCGACTTCTTCATTCCATTCTTGGAATTGACCATTCGTCGTAGCGAACATAAGATTTGCTGTAAATTACAGACCTTAGACAATTATCGAGTTTCCGCCATTTATCTGGTCATTTTCTCATTATTCTCATCGATCAGCTCCAATCATCAAAAGGATAACTCCAAACAGATCAAGTTTCCAAACGTTCTGCACTATACTGTAAATTCCAAAAAGTTAATAACTGTATTGGTAGGCGCTCTTCTGTGCTCCATTGACGCAAAATCGATATCAAGTGATACACCAAAATCTACTTAATTTCTAACTTGATAATGAGACCTCCTCTTTGGCTCCAAACAAGATTCTGAAGCAACAAGTGTCAGTTTGCGTAAATGGGGTGAACAAGAGTGTTTAAAACTTGATCTTGATGGCTTCCTTCGGCCTAGATGCAGCAAGTTTACATCATTCTTTCAGGAAAGCTATTCATACTAATAGTAGGCAATCTTTCTTAAAACCACTTCCTGTATCCATCTCCATCGCCATCATCAACTCTAAAATATGAGCGTTTGTGTTTTACGAAATATTTATTCTGGAGTCAATAAATAATTAATGGTCAAAACAGATATTAACTGATAATTGTCTATTTCATACAATGCCAAATATGTTTCCACTATATGTTTTCATAAGAATTTAATGGAAATCCAATTTCACTTCATCTTCCTTGGCGCAAGGTAGGTGCTACCTTTTTTAAAGTATCTAGCCTTTCTGCCTTTGTTTAATGTAAGGGTCTTTTTTTGTTATCAGTAAGCTGGTATTTTATGAAAATATACATGTCATTAACAAATTTCCCAATTTTATGTTCTTTCTAATTTTAACATCATTCGACATTTGCTGACATTATTCCCCTTGCGATAATTAAGTATACGAAATAACCTTCGTTTCAAAAAAATACCGCAATATTTAAAACTAACGTAAATTTCTAATAAATATACTGTTAAAATTAAATAAAAGTAACTACAATGCTAATTTAAAATTTAATACGTAATTACCACAAATCAATTAGCATGTAGGTATAACTACAAAAACTACAGTAAAGTTAAACACTACGAAATCGAATACCAGTTAATTGCTCTTTATTATATTCCAATTTTAAGTCGATGTCATAATTTTCTTAAAACAACTAAATAGATATTGGAATCTGAAAGCTACTTGAGTATGTGTAAAAGAATTGTATGATACGTTGGCGATGCAGGAAGAGCTTCACCTGTTTTATCAGAATCGGAGTCGTAACTCAGCTCATCCATTTTATAAAAGAATCCGCACTGGCGAAAGCAAAATGAGGTCGATTCTGTACAGGAAGAAATGGAAATAACAGAAAAGAAGAAAAACTCGTCATGTGATGCATTTCACCTTGGCAAACGGTTATGCACTTCTACGGCCTATTAGTCTAGACTCTAGACGAATAATAATAAGGAAAACGAAGAAATTTGTCGAGCATACTTAACCACAAAACGGTTCTTTATTTAAATTTAATTAGTACATTCAATGTTACGAATGCCGTTTTTTCAGCACATTATTTGAACTAAAAAGAGTACCTACTGAGAAAATCAATTACAATAAAGAAAGATTTAATAATCTAATAAATAAACTACCTCCACCTGACTGCAGATGAATTCTGAATTTGATAATAAAAATGATAAGTAAGTGGAAACGTATAATGCGAAGACAGTTTTAAATTTAACACTATGTTATGTCATTAAATGGCAATAAAATTGTTGGTACGTCATAATTTAATAATATTAATTGAGGCGATGGTTGAATATTTGTGAAACATTAAACAATATAAAACAAAATTTTTTTAAATGTTTTAAATTCTACAATCGTATCGACAATATTGTTTTTTCAAAGGAATTACTGTAATGTTTAATCAAAACCTTTCACTAGAGATCGCCAATTTTGATCTACTTGAGCTGGAAGTAAACAATTGTAAAGAAGTGGGCGGGTTTAAATGTCTACATTCGGATGTATAGTTGACAATATCTGCTTAAATACATGCTAATGACGTTTATAGTCATTCAGTTTTTAATTTCCGACGTTTATTCCATAGGTTATATGATTATTGAAAATATTGCTAATATTAAAATGACTATACACCAGGCCTTCTTAAACTATGGGGTCGTAAATGGGGTCGCGTAGCAAAATTCTGGGGTCGCGAGAGATTTTAATGTCAAATACTTGAAGACACGATATTAAATATTGATTTCAAAAAGGTAGCTTCGATTCAAAAGCCGTTNTGTTTATATTAAAATTCATCCTTTGCCTATATAAAACACTGCTTATCAAGTAATCATTAAACTAAACACTAATCTTTAAATTTATCTGTAGCTTCTGGGGTCGTAAATGGGGTCGCGTAGCAAAATTCTGGGGTCGCGAGAGATTTTAATGTCAAATACTTGAAGACACGATATTAAATATTGATTTCAAAAAGGTAGCTTCGATTCAAAAGCCGTTTTGGATTGGCTTAAGCTTAAGATTGATCACCTGTCACTTAAAGCTCAAGAGGAATTTGTTGAGCTTTCGAGTGACTCAAACTTAAAACTACAATTTCCAAAAAAGCCCTTGACTGAATCCTGGATCGGAACTGGAACTAAATTTTCCACAATCGCTGATATGGCATATTAAATGTTCTTCTGTCATTCAACACCACATATTTATGTGAAGTTACTTTCTCAGCATTAATATTATTATTAAAAAAAATATTGAAGAGGTCTTACGTCCAGCAGCGTCAAACATTCTACCAAGATTTAATTCCTTATGCAATAAAAAACAGGCACACCCATCTCATTAAATATTTTCCTTTAATTTTAATTTAATACCACTCAAGGACTGCGTTCGAATATATTCGAGCGAACAAAGACGCGAGCACTACAGTGTGTCTAATTCAAGAATCAACTGGTATTGTGGGCTAAGACAACGACTCCTCTCAATTAAATTCCCGCGGTGGCGGATCGGGTCATGTGACCAATGACGCAATATTTACGTTCCAATGGAATCCCTCATCACGTGAAAACAACTGCTANAATATTAAAATGACTATACACCAGGCCTTCTTAAACTATGGGGTCGTAAATGGGGTCGCGTAGCAAAATTCTGGGGTCGCGAGAGATTTTAATGTATATTGTTACCTAATAAATAAATCATCAAAAAATATTTATTTATCTTTCTTTTATATTTATATAGGGTCGCCAAGAAACTCGCAATCATAAACGGGGTCGTGAATGAAAAAAGTTTAATTTTGAGAAGCTCAGTTAGTTACATTTTTTAACTTTTTATAACAAATGTTTGACACTATAGCTTTACTTTCTTCATGAAGATCAGCATAGCAAAGGCTGACTTCACTATATCTTACTGAAAGTCACGGTAATTATTACGAATTTGTAAATAGACAATAAACAGCAACTACAATCCTGTTTTTTATTACGCATTCATTGTAATTCATAGTCATCTATTTAATGACTGATCTTAAGGCTTTTAGTTAAATTGTTTTCGTGATGATGGGGATATATCAGATCTACTGAAATTATTTATAATATGTGATTACAACTGAGCAGCAAATAAACTGAAAACGTTCACGTACCTAATTATAAATAGAGATGTGCAAAATGGTTTGTTGAAAGTATCTGAATACATTTTTGGTTCACTATTTTAAATGTAAAAAAAAATTCCCTTTTATTTTAAATTCTAAATTAGTGCTAAATTCGTATTTTCATTTTTTTTTCTGTACATACTCCCTAATTGAAAAAATTGACATAAAACTGATGAAAAGTTAGTTTCTTTAACGTAAAAGATCAGATCCAAAATAGGGTAGGTACTTTGTAATAAGGGAAAGAAATGGAATCCAAAGTTTCTTTAGCTTTAGGTTAACCTAATCAGCAAAGCTTTTATAATCAATTCTTAAAACTTTTTGATATCTATTAGCACACTACAATATGGTACAGTTTTCAGAAATTAATGGCTTGCGTACAACATTTCGATATTGCTTTTCGAGTTGTTTAACCATGGACCATGGAATTTCGAGGGTCCAAACTGTACGTCGTTCGTTGCTGATGACACCTTTAGATCCAAGTAAAAACCATGGCAGAACGATCCGCAAAAGAATGTCGAATCCAGGACCGTCTTAGACCATGCCAATGCCCTTGGGCACACAAGAATTTGGGGCCCTTTTGGATAGTAAAGTAAACTGAATGATACAAACATTTGCCCGTTATGATCTTTTAATTAAATCAAATATACTTTGTCGATGTTAGCCGAATTAATTGCGAATATTTTAGGGGGTGCTATCACCAATCAAGACCCCTTGAAGCCAAAAACTTCACTATTGAAACAATTCTTCTAAATACATTCTTCCAATAATTGGCCTTGACTACGTTATATTGAGACAACTCTCACTGTCAACTCCTCCAGTATAATAAGATTAATAAGTTACTAATATGCTTCCAGTCTTTATATCCATTTGGAGAACTCAAATTATGACCAGTACCAGCACTCGTACTAAATAGACTACAGAAAAAACAGTACATAGATTTCTTCGACGGTGAATAAAGGAACTTTTTTTTTTTCTATAGACTCCTCATTCGTCAATTTACGGACGAAAATATTTTTAGTCAAGTGTCTAATTTTTGTTTTACCACTTGAATCTGGAAAACTTGTAGA